CAGATGACGATCGGCACACAGTTAGAATAGTTGTCGCCCGTTTTTCGTGCAGTGAACATCAACTCCGATTCGACAGTCCAGAAGTTACTCCACATGTTTCGGGTGGACCACGTGAGCACTCTTATCACACGAGAGGATGAAACCAGCAGTCTCACGCTTGACAAATTAATCTGGATAAGTGTCGATAGAATGCGTCTCTAGATCACAAATGCAGTCAGCTGGCACAACAAACAGACGAACCTTTTAGGCCAAGTGACAGTGAGTTTGACTGACGTGGATAATTAAACTGAGCAAAGATGGTTGTTCACTAGGATCCACTCAGGACATAGCTGAGCGTAACTCCTACGGATCATTGGACTCCTGGATAATAAGCCGTGAAAACTTCGTGTCTCATCTGGACATTTTGGGACACTGATCATGCTAGAGTCTCTGATGTGCACTTTAAATCCGAAGGATACCTGATGAATTCCAAGCGAACACTATCTTTGCTAGTGTGATGGTGTACAGACATTGAAGGATCATAACTAGAAATAAACAGGTAAATTTATCAAACTGCTATTTTGAGTACTGCTTCTTGGTGGAGGACTGGATAAGTTGTGTCAGTCGTGTAGATGATAGCAAATTGTCAGAGGTGTTCAAAGGACTGAGGAGGTACATCAATGGAAAAACTACCGTAAGTACAGATGATATTGCTGGTGGCCCTGATAGAGAAAGGGGGCCTTTTCGAGGTAGCCCGCCTTCAGCTTTTGACTCAAGTGTCTGGCCATAAGTCATTTGGCCTTAGTTGACTTTGTCCAGGGCCGGTGACTCAATAGTCTAACCTGCTCTGCTACATTTGTACATCTACAAAAAGGACGCAAGGAATAATGCACGAATATCTCACTCTCCAGGCTAATGCGCACAGCAAATACTTTTGGACTGACCTTGTGCCCTTAGAAAGCATTTCTTTGTCGGTGTTGAGAATTGACTTTTGAGCGATCGAAGTGCGGTGGTTTTTATGAATGATATTTCGGAAAGCACTTGTCTTCGAGGTGAGACAGTCGGTTTAAGAGAAAATACTGAGGAAATTTGGCAGTATCAGCATTGGCGTTTTCCCGCTTAGGCATCACACTGTGTTCAGCAGTTATTGTGGCCCGGTCGGTAGCACCATGCAAAGATCAATATGGCAAAAGATTATCAGAATCCCCTGAAGTTTGCTCATTATTTCACGTCGGGAGAAATATTCATAGATTTCCAGCCCTAAACAGAAGAATGACAACGCATTGGCTAAAAACCTGACTGCCTAAAAAGGGTTCTAAGATGGGACTACATTTGTGCTTCAGATGTCAAGGAAAAAAGGACCAAACTTTTTCACTCTCCAGCCAGACAGTCCTGTGTTATTCTGACTCAAACCGTTGACAAACATAGTATCGAACTCTCCGAACGCCGCACGGCAAACTCTAGTATAGCTCAGTCATCACAGCACGGTACAATCCATTCTGTTTGTAACGGCTTCGTAATGGGGACACTTTGCTGGTATCTTTCCGAAATGCTCTTTCTGAAGTAATCCAGACAGTGGTACTCAGTGGTAATCTTTTGCCGTCTTCTAAAATCACAGTGAGTTAACGTACACTAGATTTTTCTACTGTTTCGCTTGAGTTTGCTCAAGTCAACAACAATATGGAAATAACATCAACGAACAATCCTAATGCAACCGACGGTAGTTAAATCAAACGTTGTTTAGACATGGATTTTAGCTTTAGTTATGTTAAATTATCACCAGTCCCGTAGCAGTAAGGCACCAGTTTACCAAGGAAAGATGCACACCCGGTGCTCGTCGCCCAACTCGGTCCATCTTTCGACATTCAGTCCGGAATTCTCGATATTCGGCCAGTCTACCTTGAGTTCAACAATTCACGGTACACCTTCTCATTAGCAATATCGCGCTTTAAATCGTAAATGCAATCCCACACATTACATTTTGTAATTACTCTATACCATGTAGGCTCTCAGCCTGCCATTGTGGTGCTCTCTGTTATGAACCTGCGCCATAGAGATAGTAAGAAACCGTGAATGCAGTAAGATAAACTTATTAGACCAACACCAAATGACCGTGAACTATTAAGAGCCTGGGAAAGTGCGAACTCGAAAGTAATCATACGCAGCACTAGCCTATGTTTGACACTACAAATATATATCATTACTGTATACACAAGTCTTTCTATCTAGTTAAACACCATACGCTCTACAAATAGGAATCTAAAGCCTTCAAAGTAACATGCGAATAATTTTAGCATATCTTAATTGCTCAGCAGTCCAGACAGATCAAACAGATTCAAGTGCTTCTCCTGAAGGAATTTTTTGCACATTTTCACTTTGGAAAATGAAGGTTATGACCGATTCATAAGCTAAGAAAACCGTTTTGTTAAAAGTGAACGAAATCGACTTGGTGGCCGAAATTATTTCAGTTTTCCATCAAGTCACACTTTGAACGTGTCAGTAAGAATTAAAAACCGGTTTAGGTTTTCGTTCTACCACATCAAATCGCTCAGCAATTTTCAGAAAGTACCACTTCCAGACTGACTTAACATGGTCCCAAGACCTACACCTGCAATGCTTGCCACATATTGAAGGCAGCCCTTCATGTCCGTCAGCGACGAAAACAGACATCAGTCAATAAAAGAAGCGCGCCAAGGCTCTGCTTGATTATAACTCGAAAAGCATCACCGCAATAGTGCACGTATCACACATATCAGCAGTGGTCAGCGCTGGCCAATGCACTGACCGGATTGATAGTGTGGGGCTTATTTAGTTCAGTATTAATTACACAGCAAAACCACCTGTTATGGCGCAGTGATTTTTTCCTCTTCACAAATATCGTCATTTCATCGGACTTACACCATCAAAATAATATTCATGACCTCTGGGACAAAACTTTAATGTCTGAATTTGGCGATAAAACCCGGAGATCAAGTTTATTTACATTATCATATATGTGTTGTTGTATGCTCAATATGAAACCACTCTAGACGGAATGGGAAACTAACAAGTGGTCAGCAAATCATAGAGGTGAACGGGTGCTTCAAAATCGACGTTTTTTATATGGCGTACTGCAGTCGATAGAGATTTAGTGTCTCTACAGTGGAAAGCAATTGAAGTCATGGATGATGGCGAAACTTTCATAGTAGTAGCTTGTGCTCACCAAAGTTTTTTTGAGAACATTTCAAACGCATACGTCGCTTCACATTCAGTGAGTATGAACCAGAAACAAACTCTTGACGTTTCCCGTGGACGAACGTCCAGATTTCAAAACCCACACTGCCCGCCCACACAGCGACAAAATGCTACAAACTCTTGTTCCCGTGGACGAACGTCCAGATTTCAAAACCCACACTGCCCGCCCACACAGCGACAAAATGCTATGCACAAATTAAAACAAACTCTGTTTCCCGTGGACGAACGTCCAGATTTCAAAACCCACACTGCCCGCCCACACAGCGACAAAATGCTATGCACAAATTAAAACAGTAGCTTGAAGCCTCAAGTTAGACGAAACACTTTCCTGATTTCTGCACAACAGCTGCAACTTTGCAGTCGTCACTCATTTTCCAAATTCCTTCGAAGGACAAAACAGGTGATGTTATATAATAACAAACGAATGCCTCCTCGTTCTAATAATCCACGCATATACATGAAGCAGTATGTATGAGCATACATATATGCTTATCTTTAGGCATGCCCAAGTAGTACATCAATTGATAAGAGGCGTTAAATTGATCAGAGGAATTCAGGCACACGCTAATAGAATTTTTAGTATTTTCATGTATTGACTACAAATCGCAAAGCTTCTGACCTTGCGAAGTGGACATAGTACTTTGTGGCAAGTTGGAAACAGTTCGGAAAAACTACCCGTCACGCGTTTTGTGGTGAACGACGTGATGGCTGTAGGAGGGTTTTTTGGATGGTTACTCAATATTGACAGAAATACCACGTGGTCATTAACATTTTTAGCAAGTGTCACACAAACATTCGCTTGCTGAGTTCCGATAGGGACGGAATTCATGGTGGATTTATATTTGGAATTAAAATTATCCTACTTTTATTATGCTCATGCTCAATTTTACAAACTTCTTACGAGTTAAAAAATGTGACCCATCTGGGACCAAACCTTTTCAACATCTTCCAAATTTTTTTTCTTGCTGTTTGTATTCCTCGTCCATCAAATCGACTAATCATTTACGGTAAATCCGCACAAATCTGACAGACAAGATGAATGATACGACTGTGTTTCAAAGTTGCCAGTTACTTCAGTGGAAATATCTGCGAATAAACTGATGTGAATGACCAGAAATTGTAACAATAATAAGGAAAAGAATATGACTGAGGATAAAGATGGTCACCACCTCTTCCAAGCAGATCTACAGTGCCACGTCGTTGAGTATATTGTGACACTCAATCGACCTTACGTAAATAGGTCCAGTAAATGACGCAGGAAATCCCATGAATGAGTCGCTTGGCGTGCTGACGATGTACTCTCCACTGGTGGTGGAACGTTTGAAAGGCGTACGTCAAGTGCAGTCAACAACCCAGCTACCTAGATAACGCGGGAGTGAAATATGATGCAAGTTACCTAGGTGATCCTAAAGGTGAATGGAAATCCTGCGATGACCAACGATGATTCTCGACAGGTTTCGTAAAATTACTTGCTGTGTATTTTAAACATTTCAGCAGCGTTTCTGTTTTAAACCAATCCGCAAAGTTCTTGTTCTGCACCTGGAGCTCTGGATCACTGTCTGAATCCGCCATAACTATCCACGCACAAAATGATAACTGGAAATTGACGGAGTTGTCGTCGGTTTCTTAGTACATTTTTCTTATCTGATCCATCAAAGTCTTTTTTTCTCCCACAATGAACAGCTGGATTAATAATTTCATTTAAATGTCACTGCTCACAAATGTCTCACGCACCACAATCTTGCGCAATGTAAACCTAACCTTTCTGCGTTTTTTCCCATTTACAGGTTTGGAAGGTGATACCGGTCAACTCCGACCCTCACTTGCAAAACTGATACCGCACAATTATATGCGTGAATAACTCACGGTTGCACTTTCTCAATTTCCTCTTGGGTTTACCTTCTTCCAGCCGCTCATTGGTAGATTGAATGATGGCGAAATACAAACGAAGGCATACGTCATGGTTTGCTCGGTAGTTGTAAATCACGGGTACACAATCACAGAACAGTACTCGATGGAGCACAGATAATTTTGTTTTTTTTTCGCCTGCGTAATAGCTCTTTTGACATAGAGAATGTGGAGTTTTACAGTTTCCTGATTATACTTTAGTTACGGTTATAAGGTGACACGTGTCGATATGAGTAAACCCTAGTAGAAAGCAAAACACACGTGGAATGGATGAAAAGAACTGATTGGTCGTCGTCCCACACGGTAGGTTCCCCATCAATCGGATCCATTGCACTAATCTGCAAAGACTACTTTATCAGACGAAATTCACAGAGGTTTCCAAAAAGAACGTAAGGATTTGTCCAAATATGCAAATGGTTTTTCATTGAACATCTAAACTTCATCTGGATAAGTTTTCCATTCATATTTTTGGAAGTTTCTTGCCCTACTGTATCACTGCACAGATGCAAGTGTTGACATTGATGGAAATGTTCTTTTGTAATTCGTGACCTCTGGATGTTCGTCACGCACATGAGAGTTGGTCATTTGCATTCTATTCGTGGAATCCGATCTTCCTCTGATTTTTAAAACACGTCCTTTGTTCTTCAATAAAAGACCCTTCTCTGCGATAGTGCTCATGAGGTAGGTAAAACTCGGGTTTCGTGAGTTCTGCATAGGTGATTCAACTATGCCACAGCACTACTCTGGATAAGCGCGCATCATAAACACTACTGACTGGTCACTCGTACCTGAAGTTTAATGTTCTCAAATCCTCTCAGACTGGACACCCAAAAATGAGTCACCATAAGTAAACCAAATTAGCTGACCGAGGTGCAGTCATTTTCTAATCTAAATAGACTACAGTTGCGACTAAATATAACTGTTTCTTCAACTTTGCATTCCGTTCTGCAGTATCATGGCAAATCAGCAGCAGATTCTCTATTGTTCGGACTAGTTGAATTGGTTTGCATGCTACACCATATAATTAACCCAATATTCTTGAAAAGTAGCGCATTTCGATCCGAGGAGGCAAATTTACTAGAATACCAGATCACTGTGTTCGGATGCTTAATACCAGTTTCTTTGTCTCACATTATAGCCTGAAGACCGGTTTTGTGTATTTAAATTGTTTGGCCCATAATCAAAGTGTGCAATCTACTAGTTACATTCGCATGCAAAATTTTGTAGATAAACCATAAGACTTCTCAGTCTCTACATCTGAAAATATCAGACAGCTTTGTGAACACGATAACAGGGTTCCTTGCCTTGTTTAAGCTTCCATCGTAAAAACAAGCTCTGTTACAATATCCCGGTGACACCAGTCCCAGATTATATAGGCCAGTTTAAACCATGATGGATGGACAATAATCACTGGTAAATAGTAGATTTATTTTCGAGCTGCATAATTTGTCTCAGGCGAGAGCAATCACCAGATCAGGAGAAGTCTTGAATCTTGCGCCCACAAGTCCTGAAAAGTACAATGTCGGTTAAACAAATGCAAGGTCTCAAGTAGAATTATTCGTTTTAAGCTTCTTGTGGTCTACTCGAGGCAGCTCTAAGAATTTAGAGGGCAGGTCCAAAGGAAAGGTGTGCTATGCCAGAGTAATGCGCTGGAGCGATTCGTCTAATTTCTAGGCAGTACGTGAATAAATACACATGTGCCGGGTGAAAATCATGCGATCAATAATATGTCCAAATGCTGCAACTACCCACCTATCGGTCAGGAATGCTAAACAGATAACAATCCCGTATTTACTGGACGGCACGCTTTGTTCTACGTAGTACAACTTTTTTGTGGCGGCTCGTTATAGGCGTTTAAAGGTTAGTTCCCACTTGCCCCAGCACGACACATCCGTTGCCCATGCATCCTACGGTGAAAGCTAAAATTCATTGGACTGAATCCATAATAAGTAGGATGTGCTTGTAGTTGGTGTGGGATATGTAAAATTCCTATTCATTTTATCCTCACTTAAACAGTCATTCTCTTGTTTTTGCCCAGTGGTTCTGGTTTGTCTAAACTGCAGAGGAGATATTGTACTCGAATTTTTCATGTAATAACTCTTCAGCAAGGCCTCTCCTCGTGAGCAGATCCTGTTATCACTGTAAAATCAACACACATGGGACTCATTAGAAATATCACTGCGAACTGATCCATTCGCAAACGTACAAAGTCTTTTATCCGTTTAGACGTAACCCTGATAGCTCGCCAATCTAGAAAACTATTATTCGTCTCGTTATCTAACTTACCATAGCAATATTTCCAGAAGATCTCAATCCAACTATGGTCAGTAGCATTTGCGATTATTAGCAGTGTCTTTATTCCTCGTATTGTTTTTAAATTAAGGTTCTCTCTCATTTCAGGGGATCGATAGCATCTACGTAAGAAGCACTTTCTTCTTGGAGCTGTTGAACGTTGATATGCTAAGCGAACTTAACATGGCTTCAGCAAACTTTACCTAGGTCGGAAACCAAAGCGACAGGTTGCAGGGAATCACTCACATATATAGCAGTACGACATCAGGTGACATTCTGGTTGTATCTATTCCCAGGCATTAGCTCCTGCTTTAAATTTCCTTTACCACTGCGCCCCTTATGGATCATGATGATTCTTTTCAAATTTCCTTTGTGTTTGTGGAACAAATATGCTTCAAGCTTTTTCTAAGCACAGTGATTAGCAGCATGCTCTTCGAAAACGAGTAAAATAGCTAAAGCTCAACTACGACACACGATTCTGGCTAGCAACAAAGTGTGTAAATTCACCAAAATACATCGAAGAGTGATATCAGTAATTGAAAATCCTCCATACGGAATATTCTTCTACTGCTTTTTGGAAATACTGGAAAATATTTCAGTCAGTCTGCAACTGGTAGTATTGAAAGCCCCACTGTGTAAAGTGGTCATAAGGTTGAACAATCAAATTTTACTTCCACTGCATAAGATTCAAATAAACTGATGCGACCACCACGCTAATTAAACTAGATTTGATACCAGCAGGCATATCTATGGCCACGCTTGGAATGTTATCAGAAAATGTAAGTAAGAATCCACCACTATGCAAACGATTCACTGACAGCTGTTCACTGGTTACTGTTGCCAAACGATAAACTGTAGACCTCCCCGAGGAGCGTAACCCAATTTAACAGGACATTTTCTTCACTTGCGAACACAAATAGGAAAGCCAGATAGAGTTTCCACATGTACAGCCAGTCGCATTAAGCAGTGACCCCGTCAGTACACTAAAGGCTAACGCGGTTAATTTCTGGACTTACAAGAGTTCGTTACATTCGATTCAAGGCCACCCGATTACAATGTAGTTACAAAAGTTATTCCCCAGACAGGCCGGTTTATGATTTTCAGCAGCTTCAGAGGATGCTTCGGACAACTAGCAACCCTGACCTTTGTGTTCAAGTTAGAAAGCACAAAAGAACCAATGTTTGAGGTTTCTGAAGCTTTCCTTACAATATAAGTTTATTATCGTTCGTCCAATTATAGTAGCCATTACTACCATTAACGCCCATCGAAATTCCGCATTCAAGTCTACTAAAAAAATTTCTAGACTTGTCTTTTCACTGGCAGTCAAATTCATATTAGTGAAACTGCCATAAAACCTACCTAATCCATTTCTCTTACGTTAAACCACTGGAAGTCTGGAAAGTTGAAATCTTTAGTCATGAGATATTTGGCAACCGTCAATCGTGGTCGTTACAAGGTGGATCCATTTTAGTCAGTCTGCCTAGACAGTTGCCGCATATACAGAGGTGGGTTGCGCCACTCTTCAACTCTCCCTACTTTTACCGGCAGGAAACCTTTTGAGGATTTTTTTTAAGTGACTGCAATCAACTATCAAGTAACTTCCCGCAATTTTGCAGGTTGTCGGATGTAGAGAGGGCAAAAAAGCGAGTACAACTTACTATGTTCCTCTCTTTGGACCCATCAGACCAGTCAAACCTGCGACGGGGTTTAATCCGGATTTGAACTGTCCGTGTTGTGCTCCCTTTAAATTTATTGAAACAACGCATCTTGTTCTTTACAAGTAACACCTTTATAGATCAGTCTTCAAACTCGACCACAAAAAGTCTGAGGAATAAACCGGTCAATGAAAAAGACTCTGCGTAATATATTGACGTCTAGAAGGCTTTACTTGTCAAGTTTTTCGAAATTTAGTCACAGCCTATATCCTTACTACGCAATATGTCGCCCATATGACGGATCAAAGTTCCGAACTTTTACAACACTTAAGAATACTGATGACCAAGTGAACTGACGGTTAACAAGTTTTTTTTCGTATATGTCCAGCAGAATAACTTGAATGAAGTAACAATCTGCACAGCAAATCCTCCGCAAGAATCATACAGGTCATTCAGCCCCCGGACTCTACAACCGAGTTCGCAATAGCGATTTCATCTCAGTACTCACCAAAAAGTTCGTTATCTCAACATACTACCTACAACTTGTTAGTAGCTCAGGAGGAGAATTAATTCAAATAAGGAGCGACAATTCCATCCAGGTAGTCGCCAGCACTGTACCAGGTAATGTGGATTACGTAATTGATTATTGAGTGGCACTATATCCTGTTGATCCGCTACTTGTTGCCGGAAGTTTAGGTGCTCAATCTAACCACCTTAAATGCCGCGGATAGGTGGACGGGAAACCCCCTGCAGAATAGCGCACAACGATGATGACTTTCAAAAAGTATGAAAGAGCTGTACAGTGTAGCTCAGCTGTTTTATATAGACTGGCTTCAAGTACGGAATAAAATCTCAGCTGAATAAGACTGAATTCCGGCAGTGAGGAATTTTTGAAATTTAGCCTAAATACCCGTGGGACAGATTGAGAAGTCACCACCTTCTCAAGAATTTAGAGAACAATCGGTAGGTGTTTTATGCGTTTGGCCTGAACACAAGAGCTC